ATGTTAATGGTGTGGTTACATTGTCCACACTTGGCCTTGGTTCCAGAGTTACCTCCGGGGATCGAGCCTCTGTTCTTAAAGTTACATTACAATGGCACTTTCCCAGGGTAAGGTGTCTCTCTCTCTCTCTCTCTCTCTCTCTCTCTCTCTCTCTCTCTCTCTCTCTCTCTCTCTCTCTCTCTCCCTCCCTCCTCCTCCCTCCCTCCCTCCCTCCCTCCTCCCTCCTCTCTCCTCTCCTCCCTCTTCTCTCCTTTTTTTTTTTTCATTCTCCTTCTTCTCCTCGTTCTCGTTCCACTCTCTCCTTTTCACTTTTTTTCTCCAGATTTCTCTCTCTTCTCTCTCCCCTCTCTATTCTCTTCTATCTATCTCTCTTTCTCTCTCTCTCTCTCTCCATAATCTGACTTCAAAACGTCTTTCGAGGATGTCCAAAGAGCATGATGATATACAACAGATTTATAAGACGATTATGTACTGTAATTCCTCCCTTTCTGGCGAGGAAATTAGCGTGATTTGGGCAAAGAACACCTTAGTTCTGGCTCGCGTAGTGTGCCAAGGCCGGGCCAGAAAGGTGATAAATCCTTGACTCAAGTTTGGTCCCAGAGTCACCTAAGGAAAGGTAGATTAGAGTGATCACTGTCCGATATTCTTGCAGCTTTTCGTATCATCACCATCTTTATCACTATTTTCTTACTATTCTATCGATTTGTATTTATTTTGTTTATTCATTTTTTTTTTATCAATGAGTCACTAATTTGGTTAAGTACAATTTGACTTACGAATGCACTTTTCTTCACCGTAATTGAGTAAACATTTTTTTTCTTATCCTAAAAAGGAACACCTCTTTAGCCACCCGTTTACTACGAGTAAATTTCTAATGTTTTTCCATCATGCATAAGTGACCAGTATATTTCCTTCACCCTAAGTAAGTGACTTGTGTATTTCCTACACACTAAATAAGGAAATAACACACTGTTATATAAATACTCAATAAATTTCAACGTCAAAATTATGATATAATAGGTGTTGTTATTATGTATTCGTTGTTCATGTCATAGTAAATATTCCCATACACTTCATTCACCCTTAGTGTGCATCTAGGACACTCCCTTCACCATCAGAATACAACTACAACACTCCCTTCACCCTTAGAATAATCTAGGACACTTCCTTCACCTTAAGAATACATTTAGGACACTTCCTTCACCACCAGAATACATCTAGGACACTTCCTTCACCCTTAGAATAATCTAGGACACTTCCTTCACCATCAGAATACATCTAGGACACTTCCTTCACCCTAAATCCTCTCACAGTCCACTTCTTCCACCCTTGTTCGACACCCAGTCCACTTCCTGACAACATTTCACCTCACCCTGAATAAGCACCCAATGACCTTGAACGCAATTTAGCGAAAGAAAGAAAAAAAAAGTAAAAGAAAACAAAGTCAAAGGAAAATAGTAAAAAAAGAAGAAGAAAAAAGTGAGAGAAAGAGAGAGAGACAAAAAAAAAAAAAAAAAAAAAAAAAATTGAAAAGAATAGGGAAAAAATAGCTTCGGAAACAATCACTTCCGGAACTGACCTTCGACCTACTTTGACCTCTGTCGGTGAGGGACGAATTGTTATTGAATCCTCTTGTGAGTAAGTAGATCAGTGACAGATGACGGTTTAGTAAATAGATGTTACAATAAATAGATAAACGAGTGATAAAGGACAGACGTTGCAACAGATAGATAAATGAGCGATAAAGGATAGACATCGCAACAGATAGATAAATGCACACAAATTGCAACAGATAGATAAATGAGCAATAGATAGAGTGATATTGCACAGATAGATAAATGAGTGATAAAGGACAGACGTTGCAACAGATAGATAAATGAGTGATAAAGGACAGACGTTGCAGATAGATAAAGTGATAACATCGCAACAGATAGATAAATGAGCATCGCAACAGATAGATAAATGAGATAAAGACAGACGTTGCAACAGATAGATAAATGAGTGATAAAGGACAGACGTTGCAACAGATAGATAAATGAGTGATAAAGACAGACGTTGCAACAGATAGCAGACGTTGCAACAGATAGATAAATGAGTGATAAAGGACAGACGTTGCAAAGATAGATAAATGAGTGATATAGACATCGCAACAGATAAATGAGTGATAAAGGAGACGTTGCAACAGATAGATAAATGAGTGATAAAGGACAGACGTTGCAACAGATAGATAAATGAGCGATAAAGGATAGACATCGCAACAGATAGATAAATGAGTGATAAAGGACAGACGTTGCAACAGATAGATAAATGAGTGATAAAGGATAGACGTTGCAACAGATAGATAAATGAGTGATAAAGAATAGACGTTGCAATAGATAATCCAATAAATAAATGAATGAAGGGAAGTAATCCACAATAATGAAAATAAGTAACTCAAAATAAGTAATAAGTAATAATAAGTAATCAAAATGTAAGTAATCCAGTAGGTATATGATTCTTATGAATACTGAAAAATCGAATTGATATATAATCTAATGCGTAGGTAAATCCAATGAAAAGTAATAATTTCATGTCACTAATAACAAAATAATCATAAAAGGAATATATATAAAAAATCAATAGACTGATAAAGTAGACAAATAGATAATCCAATAAGATAATTAAACAGACAAACTGATAAATGATCCAATGAATGATAATCTAATCAATAACCAATATGGTAATTTGATGCAATAAATCAAAGACAGAAACGAACCAAATAAATCATCATATTAAGCAAATAACAAACACAATAGATTAAAAAAAGATAAACAAGGAAATAGAAACGTAAATACAAATAAATCCCGTATTGAAACAAAAAAGAAAGAGTCATTTTCCAAATTGACCTTCTCCCCCCTCCCCCCTTTTCCCTCTCCACTGCCCCTCCCCCCACACTTTTTACCTGTGTCACGCTTCGAAACAAATGAAATGAAAGGTGTGGCGTGACTCCGTTTTCTGTGCTTCCTCGTTTTCTTTACGGGATTGGAACGGTTGCCTTGGGTCACGTGCTTTTAAGGAAAGACTGATCTATTTTGTTTTGTTGTGTTTAATACGTTTTTTTCATTTTTTATTTATTCATTTATTTATCTATTCTTCATTTATTGTTCATGCTGCTAATTAATTGAATTATTGTTTGGTTAGTGTTTTGTTGATATTTTTAAATTGCTATTGTTGTTACATTTATTATCATTAATATCATTATAAGCATTTATATGATATCTAATAATTTGTTATTATCATCACAGCTATAGATTATGATACATTTTAGAAGAAAATGTGTTCTTTCTGCTCGACTTTTCATTGGAATTGGATCAAGATTATTGGCTTTTCTCCATCACTTTTCATTTTCATTTTTTCTTATTGTTCATTTTTTCAATATTTACCGTTATGATCGTGAGAGTGATAAGGATGTGAAAAGGAAATCAAGGAAGGACGAGATATTTTAGTCTAGTCTTTTTTAGTTATATTATTGTTATCATTATCATTATTGTTATTATCACTATCATTTTCATCACTGCTGTTATTGTTTTTGTTATCATTATTACTATTGTTGTTATTGTTATTATTACTATCATCATCATTTTATCATTATTGGTGTTATTACATTATTATTATTATTATTATTATTATTATTATTATTATTATTTATTATCATAATTATTATTATTATTATTATTATTATTATTATCACCACTACTACTACTACTGTTACTACTACAAATACTGTTATTACTACTACTACTATTACTATCATTATTGATATAATTATTGCTATTATTATCACTATTACCATCTTTATCATCCTCACCATTTTGATATCAGCATTCTCTTTATAACTTCCATTTTTACCATTGTTATCCTTATCTATCTATCATTGTTATCATCATCATTGTTATCCTCATTATCGTTATCATTTTCACTATTATTGTTATTATCGTTATTTTTATTCTTATCATTATCATTAATACAATTACTATTATCACTATTGTTACTATTTCACATTATCATTAATACATTTACTGTTATCATTATCATTATACATTATATCATTACTATTATCATCTATTATCATTATTATTATCATTATCATTAATACAATTCTATTATCATTATTATTATCATTACAATTACTATTATCATTCATCATTAATCAATTCTATTATCATTATTCTTATCATTATCATTAATGCAATTACTATTATCATTCTTCTTATCATTATCATTAATACAATTACTACCATCATTCTTCTTATCATTATCATTATCAGCCATTTACCTATCAATCATTCGTTTATCTGATGAGCTGATTTCGTATTCCTTATATTTTCCCTTCGTCCCAAATCCCTTTAATTTCGTCGTTTTTTTCTTCTCTTTTTTTTTTAATATAATTCATTAATTTCGTCGTTTTTTTCTTTCTTTTTTTTTATTCAAATAAACCTTCACCTCTTTGCTTTCTTAACTCCTTTTTAGGAAAATTTATTTCTTTTTTTGGTTATTATTTCCTGTCTGATTTTTTACGTTATTATCATTATTGTTGTTATTATTATTGTTATTAATATCATTATTATTATTATTATTATTATTATTATTATTATTATTATTATTATTATTATTATTATTATTATTATTATCATTATTTTACTTGGGTTTTAATGGAGTTGAAACAGACTTTCAAGAAAAAAAAAAAAATTGAGGTGAATGTGTGAATTTGCGATTTTTTTACACTTTTCATTTTTTTGCTATTGTTTTTTTTTTCTTTTTCTTTTTTCTTCTTGTTTGCTCATCTTCGTCTTCTTTTTCTTTTCGTTATCTTCATCTGCATCTTCTTCATCGTCTTCTCTTCCTTTTTCTTCTTTTCTTCTCTCAGCCTCTTCTTCATTATGTTTTTCTTCTTCTTCTCTTTCTTTTTTTCGTTTATTATTTTTCTTCTTCTTCCTCGCCCTGTTTATTTTCCCAATTTTCTTCCTTCTTTAGTCTTAATGTAATTAATTATTTATTTAGATAAATGAAAAAAAATGTAAACACAACAAAACAAAACTGAAAATCAAGACATAACCAAAAAACGACA